ACATGGCGGGCGAGAATAAGAGGGTGTCTTGGGCCGGCCTTGACACGGAGCGAGGGACCTCGAGGAGATCACGGCCCTCCTGACGGACCCCGCCGTGACACTCATGCTTCTGGGTCCTGATGGTTGCCAACCTCCCCGCCCCCTTTTCTGTTACATATGCCAGAGTGTTTTAAAGCCTTCCTCAGAGGCATTAGGTGTTAGCTGCAGCAAAGGCTGGGGATTGGGACTGGGGTGTGCCAGTGCTTCTGCTGGGACCAAAACCAGAGGTTCCTGGCTAGGGGATCTTGCCTCTTTGCTCAGGGTAAGACTTGCTGCCATATTTGGGGGTCAGGAAGAAATTGTACTCCAGGGTTAGATTGGTAGGGACTGTGGTGGGGTTTCTTTTCCTCTGTAATGCGCATGGGGCATGGCCCTCTACCCAGGATCCCTTGATCATATATTGACAATATTTCATAGAAGCAGGACATTGGCTGCCACAGTTCCCCTGCTTTACCTATGGCACGTTAAAGTGTTAGGTCTGTGTTGTATGAGGGTTGATAGTCTTAAGTAGAGTTGAGATTATGGATTGTATGGGATGGTTTGGACAAGGATGATCCTGCCTCAGGACTAGATGACCTGTGTAGGTCCTTTTCAGCCCTTCTGGTCTATAATTCTGTGCAACTCTTTCCAAACATAGCCTTTACAATGATACAACAGATAGGCAGAAATACAGTATCTCGTCAACCAAAGTTAGCTTGTTGGGCTCAGGTGGTGTTCTATGATGTCTATGCTATTTCCAAAATTTTAGCATTATTACTACAGCATGAGGCTGCATTTATAAGTTTAATTATATAAATAATATCTGAAGGATAAAAAAATATTTGAGTTTAATATGACGTAAATAGTGAAGGTAAAAAATACTACAGATTTCAAGATGTAGCAAAACAGTGCTGCAGTTTGGGCCTGTAACAGGAAGATCCATCCTTTTAAAAGGGAACAGCCTGGCCTGCTGAGAGAACCCAGCCACAGGATATTTTGGATAAGCAGGGAGTGTCCCCCTAGGAACTGATGCAGTCCCAGAAGAGTAAGCAGAGGAGGAGCAAACAACCAGAACAACTTCCTACAAGGAAGGGCCAAGCTACCATGCTGGGGCCAAAGCCAAAGACCTCCTAGTGTCTGGGACAATGCAGAAAGCCTTGGTTTTGTTTATTTGTTTGCTTGTTTTGTTGCTTGCAGACGTTATTTTAAGCTCCTCAGGGAGCAAAATCCATCTGCAGAAACCAGCAAGCTAGGCAACCCACATACAGAACCCAATCCTAGTTCTACTGAAATTAGTGGCAAAAATCTCCATTATTTATATACAACCAAAAACTGTTGAATTTTTTTTTGTGGGGGGGGGGGGGGGGGCATTGGGTGGGGTTGTTTTTTTACATTTTTCTTTTCCAATTAAAGTCAATGAAAATTTTGCCATTTCAATAGCTAGGGATCTGGGCTGTATGAGATTTGTAACCTCCAGGTAGATTAGTCTATCAAGCATCACAAATTTTAAATGAAAAATCAGAGCCCTGTAATCCATACAGTTATCCTCAAAGCATTCTATGTTACTTTAACCAACTGAAATCATATTTCAGACTTTGAAACAAAAGCAAAAGAAAGAAATGGCATACTGTGAAAAAATTGCATCTTGTGAAATATTTGACCACATATAAAGGAATGAGAGAGATAATCCACTAAATTGATAGAATTTAGAGGCATACAATAGACCAGTAGGGGACACACACAATTCTTAACATTTTAACTTCCTGAACATCTGAAGATGAACAATAAACAGGAAATTTACCTTGATATGAGCTGCTGGATCTGGGACAGTCTGAATCATGTCCTTTAACAGGCCAACGTGTTTCCCAGAAGTTCAGGCCCCAAGGCAACTGCATAACCAAGAAAACAAAAAATCACATAAGCATTTAAGCATCTGTATTTTTTAAGTTTATTTGCAAAGAACTCTATTTTCTTTTATGGAGAAACAAGGTCTAAGTTTTGTTTCATGCTTGTTCCCCATGCCCCATCCCCCCAGCAATAGTGGCATACATCTGATGTTTGTTTCTACAGACGCAGTCAAAATATTTTACACAGGAGAAAACAAATGTTAGGGGCTGATCTTCTACTTCAGACCCCAGGGAAAGTCCTCAGTGAACTTAACTGACAGTGCGTTATACTAAGAAGACACAAGGTGATTGGGACAGATTCTCAGATGTAAATGAGCAGAACTTCAATGCAGCTGTGCCCATTCACAACAGCTGAGGATTTGATACATCATCTTGCTCAGTGGTTCTCAACCTTTTCAGAGTCAAGGCACCTCTTTCCCACTTTTGTTAATGTGGCATCAACCCTAGTTGAGAACCACTCTTGGTGCTGCCTCAACTTATCTTAGTTCTTCTCAACTGAGTAATGCTGCCTCCAGGTGGCTGCTGCACAGGCAGCCCAGGAAAGGCTGTGGCACATGCATGTGCCCCTGCTGTGGTAGGGTTCTCTGACAGCCCTAAAGCAGACAGGATTGCTGCTTCAGGCTCTCAAACTTCCCAGTCTGTGCCCCACCCCCAACTCTTGCTAGAAAGAGGCACACAGGATAGCTCTACTTATGTGTCTCTTTTTCCACAAGGAGCATGGGAGTGGGTGGGGGACCAGACTGGGAAGGGCTACAGCCCAAGCCAGCAATCCTACATGTTTTATAATTATCTGAGATTCCTAACAGTAAGAATGCATGCATGTTTCAGCCCTGTGCACAGAGCAGCTTCACATGGCTGCTGCCGGCATCAGCTGCCTGTGTCATGGCCACCCAGAGAGGGTTTTTCAGCACCCTGGTTGAGAACCATGGATCTAGTTCAACAGAATTTTAAACATAAAACTCTTGGGAAATTCAAAACATAAGATTTTTAAAAACAGTTTTACAAAGTACTACCCAACAACTTGAGATATGTGCTAATAAGCAGAGCTGACCCTAGGGGTATGCGGGGCCTGTGCGAGGGCAGGGTGGCAAGTGGTTGGAGCACAAAGGCCTGGACAGCACTGTCTTCAGGGCCTCCAAAGTGCAAGGCCCGAGGCAGTCATCCCGATTTGCCGCCCCAAGGGATGGTTCTGCTAATAAGATTTCATAGATTTCATACACATTAGGGCTGGAAGGAACCTCAGAAGATCATCGAGTCCAGCCCCCCGCCCGAAGGGCAGGAAGTCAACTGGGGTCATAGGATCCCAGCAAGATAAGCATCCAATTTTTTCTTGAAGGTGTTCAATGTAGGTGCTTGAGCCACCTTCGATGGCAGGCTATTCCAGACCTTGGGGCCTCAGACAGTAAAGAAATTCATCCTTATGTCCAGCCTGAAACAGTCTTGCAATAGTTTATAACCGTTCGACCTCATCATCCCTTGGGGCGCTCTGGTGAACAAACGTTCCCCCAGATGCTGGTGGTCACCCCTGATAAACTTATAGGTGGCCATCAGATCACCCCTGAGCCTGCGCTTTTCCAGGCTAAAGAGCCCCAGGGCTCTCAGCCTGTCATCGTAGGGTCTGCTTCCCTGACCTCTGATCATGCGCGTGGCTCTTCTCTGGACTCTCTCAAGCTTCTCCACATCCTTTTTGAATTGTGGAGCCCAAAACTGGACACAGTACTCCAGCCGCGGCCTCACTAAGGCCGAGTACAGGGGGAGAATGACGTCCC